TGGCTGTATACTATTCCACTCTGAATGTACTATAATTCCTTTAACAACTTGCCCACAAATTGGCATGTAGGTTGCTTCCGTTGTTTTGCTGTTCAAACAAAAACGCTGTATCAGTGGAATAATGCAGTATGTAACCTTTTGAGATGGGCTTTTTATATGCAGTGTAATTCCCTTGAGATTCATCCAGCTTGTTGCCTATCAATAATTAGCTCCTTTTTATTGGTGACCAGTAGTTCATGATATGGATGTGTACCATCACTTAAATATTTATCATTGAAGGACATTTGGTTTTTTAAATTTTGGGGCTATTACGAGTAAGTTACTATGAACGTTCATGTACAGGTGTTTATGTGAACATAGGTTCTCATTTCTCTGGGATAAATGCCTAAGAGTGCATTTCTGGGTCATTTGTAATCGTATGTTTACTTTTTAAAGAAACCGCCAACCTTTTCCAGAGTGGCTGTACCATTTTACATTCCAACCAGCAGTGGATGAGTGACCCAGTTTCTCTGCATCTTCATCAGCATTTGGTGTGGTTACTATTCTTAATTTTAACTATTCTGATATGAATATAGTGGTATCTCACGGTGGTTTTAATTTGTGTTTCCCTAATGGCTAATGACGCTGAACACCTTTTAATGTGTTCATTTGCCTTCTGTAGATCCTCTTCAGTGAAACGCCTGTTCATGTATTTTGCCCATTTTCAAATTGGATTTTTTGCTTTTTGCTGTTGAGTTCTGAGTTTCTCTGTATATTCTAGATACCACTCCTTTGTCAGATATGTGCTTTGCACATATTTTCTTCCAGTCTTTAGCTTGTCATTTTATTTTCTTACGAGTGGCTTTCACAGAGCAGAAGTTAATTTTTATGAGAGCCAACTGATCAGTTGTTTTTTTTTTAATTTAGAAAAAAAATCAAGAAATGTGACACGTATACTACCCCAATGTGATGGTTGAAAAGTGCACATTCTTAACACATTCTATAGCAAAGTGTCAATAGAAATTGAGAGCTGTAAGTGCCGTGATAGTGGACTGGAAACAGGCCTGAGACGGCTCACCAGGGCCATATAGTTCTTCCCATGTTACAGATTAAGGACCCTGTACCTTGCCTTCACTTTTAGTTCAAAGACCTCTTCATGACCCCACGGTGAACAAATTTCTGTGTGTATTTAGGCAGCATGATATAGTCGGTCACATAATTATTCTGGTTGTTTTTACCATTTAGAAGACATGTGAAACCTTACCAATTCCCCAAGCCAATGGCATCTTTCCTTCCTTTGAACTCACTTCCAACCTGCTTTTTAAGAAAATAGCACCTAACGTTTTCCCATTAAAATTATTTATGATGTGATGTGATAAGTAAGTATGGACTCCAAAGGCACCCCAGCTGACCTATCCCAGCCTCAGCAACTGTGGATACAGGAAGGTTTCAAGATACACAAATTGAGCACATGGAATTTTTAAAAGATGAAAGGCCTTACAGAGATATTAACATATAATGGCATTTGATTATATGTCGAGAGAAAGGCCTTTCTTGAAGAGAGAATGTTATATGGACTCAGGATGGTCTTGGATCATTCAAGGTCACTAGAGCCCCCAGCCTGAGGTCTGAGCCTGTCTCTTGTTTTACAGGAAAAGTGGGTACCTGCAATCCAAGCTGGCAGTGCTCGTTTTGTTTCTAGACTGGCCTCTGTTGGTTCTTGCTTTGGCAAAAAGCTGAGCCTTTGGTGCACCTTCTTCTCCATGCCCAGGGTCTGGGAAGGCTCTGGAGGAAGCCACCTCTAAGAGTGGAGCTCTCTCCCGCCATGCTGTGTAATTATCAACTTAGCTCAGGCAGAAGCATCCTGCCTACTTGGCAAATCCTGAAAGGATGGCTGGGAGGGTCCAGTGCCCCTGGTGAGCCACCTCAAGGCTGTTTCCAATCCACTATCACGGCAGCTCTGCGGGAGCCTTGCTAAGAAGCAGAGATGTGCGCTCTGTCCTGGTCCTGCAATGCCACCAGGAGATGTGCGCTCTGTCCTGGTCCTGCAATGCCACCGGGAGACTTTGAGTGCCCAGGCTGCTGGCAGAGCTGTCCTACAGAGTGGGGTCGCCCAGACCAAGAACCCTCCGTCTGGGGAGAGGCCACCAAAGACTGAGCTGTCCAAAATGCCTGTCCCAGGGAAGGCGTTAGGAGCGGTTGCTGGGGAAACACCTGGGGAAAGAGCCAGAGGTCTCTGCACCTCTTATTCCAGGAAGAGGACATCTCTGAGGACAGAACTGGATGGGCCCAGCCCACCCCGCAAAGCTGCCATGATTTGTGGCCCAGGAAGCACAACAGAAGGTCAGCAATCACCCCTCCCCACTTTTGTGATAAAGGGGAGGATCCAGGACTTGGATGCTCTCCCATTTGCCCCAAGGAACCCACAGCACGTTCCTGGCATGATCCCGTCTCCGGAAGCCCTGCAGGTGTTTGATGCTGATGCCTGTGGCTGAAACTCGGGGTCTTTTCTTTCCTGGCCGGGCTGGGACCCAGGCCCATCACCACTGCCTTGGCCTCCTCTCCACTCCTGCTGACGCTGCATTCCTCCCTGTGTCTTTGCTGCATCCGCCACCTGGCCTGGCTCCTGGCCGAGCCCGTCCAGCTTCACCGTCTGCCATGCGGGCACCTCACCCTCCTCCCAGCAGGCCTTGTGTCTCCGGAGACAGTGTCCAAACCCCAGGGGGTCAAGGGCACTTCAGGGAAGCAACCAGCCCTGCTGGCAGCCCAACCAGTGACTCCACCTTCCTAGCTGGGCAGCGATGCCTTGTGTTGCCTTAATTCTGTGTATTATAATTATAGAGAGATGGTCTAGAAGGGGAAATCAAGCTGCTTGTTTAAGAGTCTCTGTCCCCATCCTGTTTCCTCTTTTCTCTCTGCTTCAAGTCCACATAGTCATTCATGTCAGAAAGAGGGAGTTTTTCTTTAACTTCTTTCCTACCTGCCCAGACTTCCTTTACTTAAAGCTCTCGGAGCTGGCTGGCTGTGTTAAGTGAGAACTAGGGAATTTAGAACGTCAGTCCTTTCCCAGAAGTGCCCCTCTCTCAACCCTGCTGTATACTTCGCTCAGCTCTCTATTTTGAAGCTCAGAAGCTTTCTCTTTGCCTCCCTCCCCAAACAGTCCCTATGCCTTTCCTCCTCCCCATGGGACCAGCCCCCTCTCTTCCCCAGGTGGGTTAATGCCTTGAACCTATCAGGGAACAGGTCATGGACGCAGACGGACAAAAGGGAAAAGCACATTAATATTTAAAAATCTTGTCACTATTACATGAGAAAAAGAGACTCTCTTCCACCAGCACGTGCACACACACACACACACACACACACACACACAAGCCTCCCTGTTCTCTGTCTTGCTGAACCCTCTGGGGCCTTTAGAGATCAGGATGAAAAAACCTCGAATAGGGTTGCCAAGGAAAACCTCAGGTCCTTTAATTGGGACAAGGAGGGGGGTGTCTATGCTCCTGGGGATGTTGTGTTTCTCAATCTAGGTTCTACTAATAAAAAGTATAGACTGGTGTCCATGGCAGGAAGTCTTGGTCGAGGCAGACCGCTCCCCTGGGACCATGCAGACTCATGCCCGTAACCACACTCTGCTCAAAGACTATGGCTTTGCCTGTAGGGCCCTGCTTCTCCCATCCCTCCTGGACCTGAGGACCATGGTCATCCTTCTCCACATCTCCCTCACCCGGGATCCTTCCTCCAGTTTTGCATTCCCCACCACCTCCTGCTTCTCTTGGTGATGGCTGTCCCTTGTTCATTTCCCTGGTCCAGCCTGGATCCATCAGTGAGGACATCTGCGTGCTTTCCCCAGGCCCAGCCTTTCTCTTGCGTTCTGATTATTCCATTTTGACGAGAGCCATCTTGGCCCGTCCACATTCCAAGCATTGCCTGGAATTTTATCACCAGACCAGGCTAAGTGACAGGTGGAAAAGAACGGGAGGAGACGGGGAGCCACGCGGCAGTCAGTGGTTGTCAGCCGTACCATTTTGAATAAGACTGTCCTGAATGTCAGTATCTTTTTAAAAACGTACCTGTTCTCTGGGAAATAGGCAGCAAACCCCAAACAGCGTTTGCCCTCGTATTTGGGAAGGAGGACGTATAGTTGCGTCTGGGGAGGAGGTGGTGTGCTTGTTACAGACCTTTGGCCTCATCTGTAATGTTTTAGTTTTTCTTAAAGAAGAATGTATTCACACATTATTTGGGAAATTTAAAGATAACAAATAATAAATTTGGTAATTAAAAAACATTTTTTATTGAAGTATAATATAATTGATTTACCATATCATGTTAGTTTCAGGTGTATAGCACAGTGATTCATTTATATATATATATATCTTTTCAGATTCTTTTCCCTTATAGGTTATTACAAAATATTCAGTAGAATTCCCTGTGCTATACAGTAGGTCCCTTGTTGGTTATCTATTGTATATATAGTGGTGTTTATGTGTTAATCCCAACATCCTAATTTATCCCTCCCCCACCCCCTTTCCCCTTTGGTAACCATAAATTTGTTTTCCATTTGTCTCAGTTTTTTAGATTCCACATATAAGTGACATCATATGATATTTGTCTTTCTCTGCCTGACTTACTTCACTTAGTATGGCAATCTCTAGGTCCATCCATGTTGCTGCAAATGGCATTATTTCATTCTTTTTATGGCTGAGTCATGTTGCATTGTAGATATGTACCACATCTTCTTTATCCATTCATCTGTTGATGGACATTTAAGTTGCTTCCATGTCTTGGCTATTGTGAATAGTGCTGCAATGAATATTGGGGTGCATGTGTCTTTTCAAATTACGGTTTTCTCCAGATATATGCCCAGGAGAAATTTAAAGATAAAAAACAAAAAGCTTAGTAATTTTTTGGAAAATTAAAAAAAAATGGATAACAGGCACAGAATCTATGTATATAACATAATATGTGGATGTTGGTGTATTACTAGAGATAGTGCACTGTCTGATGTGATCTGTTCACAGGCTAATCTTGTCTGCACTGGACCGGGACCATATCCTGAATCCCTTTGCATCTCTAGCATGAACCACGGACACTGGGCTGCACTGGCCCTCAAGAACAGTTTGTTGAGCCACAGGTAAAGGAAATCATCAGCTTTCTTAGGGGTGGTGATCTGAAGAGTGGGAGCAAGGAAGGGACGACTGGGCTGAAGTGAAGACAGAGGACCCGGCTCTCGCTGTGATCCCTGTGTTTCCTGGACATGAATGGCAAGGTGTTTGGGTGCTAATTTCTTGCCCCCTGTGCTCCCCGTAAGCTGGCCCCCCGTGTGACTGCAGGGAACACCTTGGCAAAGAGCCTTCTTCAAAGTGTCTCAGCATGATGGGGAGCGGGCATCGCTGCCAGTCACGGAGGACATGTGTTTCCGGAACCACTGAGTTCCAACCAGTAGCCTCGCCGAGTTCTGGCAATCTGCGTGTGAACTGTGCCCTACTGCAAAGTGTACCCAGCTTGGGGGCGGGGGGCGGTCACCCCCTCCTTTGAAACTGCTGTTCCTCTCCATTTGCTGCTGCAGATGCCAACACAATTCTTGTTGCATTAACTTGGCTGGGAGAGTGAGGAAATGGCAGCAGCATTAATTAAAAATAATGTGCCACCCAGGAGATAGCTTGAGCTCACTCCCTCTCTTAGTATTCCTCTCGATTCCTTTCCTTCCAGCTTGTGGCTGACGCGCTATAGGTGCCAGGGAGGGGAACCCGCGATGTTCAGTAGAAAGATGACAGAAGAGTGAGAGATTAGAGAGAGGGGCTCCAAATGTGATGAAAATGTTCAATCTTAGAGGTATCTGTAAGGCAGATTTTTGAAGGCACTAAAAAGAATAGTAAAAAAATCAGGGGGAAAGAATTGGATTCCTGAAGTTAGGGGGACAAGGGAAGGATTGGCAGAAAGTGGTATAAGTGGATACTTTTAAAAAACAATAAAGAGAAGAAATACCATTCTACGAGAAAAAGGACCAGGTCTCTTTGTAGAAGTGACTGAGTCAATGGTTGGGGCAGGAAATGTATAACTTTGTAAGAAGTTCTTATAGTGCTGAAAAGTAAAGCAGTTTGTTCAAAAACAAACAACCTAAAACCCCAGTGGCGGTGTGTGCAGAAGAATTCCGAATAATTGAGGTTTTGTGCACCCGCTTCATGGAGGTGGAGAGTAAATTTCCACTCCTTACATGTGACCTGTGCTTGGTGACTTCCTTCCAAAGAGTACGGTATGCATAACTTTATAGTGGAGAAATCTGACAAAACACTGCCTCCGCAGCGGTTATCGAGGTCAACGTCATTATGGTTAAATCACATTAATCGCTTGTATCCTTGATATGATGAGAATGATACTTCACCTCGGTGACCTCCCTGCCTCAAACCCATAACTCCAGTCTACCCGTGAGAAATACCATCAGAGAAACCCAAGTGGAAGGACATCCTACAGAATACCTGACCCATACTCCCCCAATCTGTCAAAGTCATCGAGAACAAGAAATGTCTGAGAAAGTGTCACAGACCAGAGGGGCCTAAGGAGACCTGATGGCTAAATGTAATGTGATATCCTAGACGGGGTCCTGGAACAGAAAAGAGGACATTAGGGAAAAAACTAAAGATATCTCAATAGAGGTTGGACCTCTGTTAACAATAAAGTATCAGTATCGCTGCTTGGAACCACCAGCGTCCACTACAGTGTGAAAGGGAGTCCAGACTGAAAAGAAAAACCCTTACAATTGCCATCCCAGCCCAGAAGCTTCACAATCACCTTCACAGCCATGCTTACGTTGTAAAAAATTATGGCTGTTGCAAGCTGTGGTTTTTCAATCTAATGCTGTTCTAAATGCCTGTACTTTCAGGTAGTCTCCTTTGGAAGTGAAAGCAATATTTTCAGCATTCCAATGTGTTTGTTCTAGGCTTGTTGACAGAGTAGGATGACTGAGCCGTAGAAGGAAAGAAGCAAATTTGGGGAAGGATCCATGGAGTTGACATATGCATTATTCAAAATTAAACAATCCTCGTAAACCCATGTGTCCCCCCTGCTGCCCCCTACAAAGTGTGTTATTTCTTTTCCTGAATAACATTTTCCTCTTAATGCTGAATTAATAAAGTTATTTTCATTTCATTATGTCTGGCTTTCAGGGTACTTTCTAATAAATTCAGTCTTTATCAGTTAGGAGCCGCCTTCTGTTTCACATGTTGTCTCCTGCATGGCCTTTTGTTTCCTAATCAATATCACAACTTCTAAATGAAGCGAGGAAAGGATTTTGTTGTCTCAAACCCCATTCGGTGTGTGAGCAAATCAGAAGCGAGCTGGGGCTGCCACCTCTTCCTTTGTTGTGTTCACCAATTAAAAGGTGTTACTCTCTTGGTAATAAAGTGTCACCTTGTCCCTCCAGGTCCTCACTGTGGCCTCCTTTGATCTCACTCCTTGTTTAATTTGCCAGCTGGCATCACTGTGGTCTCAGATTCCAAAATTGTCCAGGGCCCCCACTTAGGTCAAAGCCCTTCTCTGTTGGAGGGAAAACGTTGAAACCCTTCCATCCTTTACTCCTAGCTGGCTGTCGCTGGAGCTGATCACACAGTCAACTGCCACACAGAGCTAATTTCAGAAACTTCTTAAAAGAGTTGTTCTTCAAGGGCAGGTGTCCGCACAGGGGCTGTGTCCTCAGGCATGTTTATACACCAAAAGGGAGAGTAGGGTCCAGAAACAAATAGTGTAGCAAGAATATATAATCACATTAGTTCAAATACCCAGATAATTGATTGAATAAACTGGATAACTGCCACGATGCTTCTCTTCCCCATGCAACCACGCACAAAGCTAGTGAGGAATTCGGGAAGACTGAAATATCATTAGAGGACAGGGGTGTGCTTTGAAAACAGCACGTTTCTCGCTGCCAGAACTGGTTGGGTTTGACTTTTGATCCAGCCCTTATGTTTTTGCATAACTGGGAGATTTGGCAGCGTGAGAAAAATGAACGCTTTTATTGAACTTCTGCGTTTCCGATACTTTACCATCCGTGGTCTCATTTAATCCTGTGTTGTATGAAAGGCCAGAATTACCTTCTCTATTTTACAGCAAAAGAAACTCTGCCCCAGGAGGTCACATACTAGTCACCGAACTAGTAAAAAGTAACCCAAGGACTGGAATTTAGGTCTTCTGAACTCAGTTCTTAGAGTTTTCGTCCTTTCGTAATGTTTTCATTTTTTCTTCTGGGGTCTGAATTCATTTGATCGTCTGATGAAATGTCTCCTAAAAATAGCATGCATGCACGCAGGCACACACAATTTTGCTCTAATTTCAAGAGGTTCCCCATCACCCCCAGGTTGAGAACCACTGTCCTACACTGTGCCATCTCTATAAAGGTGATAGAGTAAAAAACCAGGAAATTCAGAGATAGGACAATAAGCAATTTGAAGATGAGAATCAAGACCAAATTCCCAAGTTCTTTGCCAAATATTCTTTCTTCTCCTGGAATATATTATCTCTCAGAGGGACTGGCGTATCCTGAAATTAAATGTGTTAAAAATTACCTTGGGGGGTTATAGGCAGAAATGGGAACGTATTGATGGAAAATAAAAACCTGAGAAGATACTGAACTGAAAGAATGAGAAGCAGGGTAAAATGAAAAGGAATAAACAGAATGGCCAATTAGATAGTTTCAATCATGAACATTGTGCAACCAGCATGTTGTGCATATTTATGAAATCCGTTGCTGGGAGAGGGGCTGTGGTGGAAGTGATGCAGGAAATTGAGTGTGGTTACCTAAACGGGCTCATGGAGGCCAAGTGGGCACAGCCTGTGGTCACCCTTGGCCTGGTGGGATCCATCCCACGCATCACTTTCACCTCTAGCTATTTCCCCCTGCAAGCCCCGGCGAGCCCGTTCTTCGGAGTCGATAGTTGCTCTTGCTGAAAGCTTGGAAGCCACTTGTTGGCTAGGGCACCCGTCACTGTGATTAGACCCGGTGGCAATGTCTTGCCCTTCCTGTCGGTTCTCATGCACGTCCTTCTTCCTAACTACTAGATGGACCCCGACTCATCATGCTTCCTGCTCTGAGGTCTCCCAGGTCTGCTGGGTTTAATTCACTGCCCTGCTGTGACCTCCCTCTCTGGTGTAACCTCTCTGGACCGACTGGCCGGTTCTAAATGAACCCTCTGCTTCACTCCTCCCGCGTGATTCCACTGAGCTTGTGGACGTTCTGAAAGGCCTGAACACAACTCCAATGTTGTCTGTCTCAGGATAACCCTGGCCCCGGTTTCTCTCTTTTGATCTGTAGTGTCTACAACCCAGGAGCTATCTCTGTCACCACACCAGTGCCACCATGACCTTGTCCTTCAGCACCTGGTGACTCCTCGGATAGAAAGATTTGGAAGGAGTTCATCTCCACTCCCCAAGCTTGGGCTTCTAGGAGATAGAGTTGGGGCTGGGAGCTGGGATATGAGGGTAAAATCGAACAGGCACCATCAGGGGCTGAGCCAGGACTTGAAAAATAAGTTGGAAAATCAGACCCTCAAGCCAAGGTCAAGAAATAGTTCTCAGGCTCTCTGGCCAACTATCTCCAGAAGTTCCTTCGCCGAGCATCTTCAGGCCAGCCCTCCCTCCTTTAATTGCTTCCTGGCTCCTGCAGGACCTATCTGCACACTGGTTATGTCTGAAGATGGGGTTATTCAATGTCTTGATCAAGACTGAGCATGTCAGAATGGACCTCTGTCCACAGAAGTCATTCCAGGATCAAACTAGTAATTTTGAAAATTGTTGGGAGTTAACAACAACAAAATTGGTCCTTTCAGCCCAGTTACCTCAGTTATTTTAATGATGGCATCCGTCTCTTCAGTGATTCACCCTTAGCTTGGCACTCACCCAACAGATGGTCCATCCAGATAGTGTCTACATTCTGAAACAGAATCAAGAATTGCTGTTTATTCATTTGTCTATATTAATGAGCAATTTGTGCCCAGTCAATTGGATTAGATCAGTGGGTTAGATCCAATTAGTGAATTCAATTTTTTTTTCCCTTTAAAGGAAAAAGCTACCCCAACCATTTTTAGCGGGTTGTTTTAAATCACATGTACCTATTCTACTGAAGGCACTACTGCCTATGGCAGGTTTAACTTCCTGGAAGTCGGAAACAGAATTCAAGGTAACCCATGTGACACAATAGACACAAAAGGCATGATCTAAAGGTAGGACGCAGAAGTATGAAAAACAGTTTGTACTGACACAGAACACAGGTTGATACGAACCCTATGCCATCTATGTCTAATGCGCTCGTAACAGGCTTCCTAGTTTTATAGGGAAATATATTTTTGTATGTTAATCCCTGGTGGTTTGGAATAAAATATCAATAAATTACAACCGAAGAGAAAATGGAATAGCAATGCACAGAATCTGCACATGAATATCTGAGAGAGGCTGTATGATGATTATCTTTGGCATTCGTTTGGCAAACACTTCATTATCACTTTCCTCGGGAAGTGCTAACCCCGGTGTGCATTTCTTCTAGCTGTAAATCAGTGACGTCTTTCAGTAAAAAGCACATAATGACCAATGACGTTGGTGTCCCTCACCCTCTCACCCCCTTCCTTTCATAAATGTTTCTGTTTGGGGCAATAACGCTGTATAATTGGAACAGAATTCTAAAACCACACCTACATAAAGTAACAGAACTATGCTTGAACCACTATGACTGTCGCCTCTCACTGAGCTATTAGGCAAATAGGATTTATTTCTCGTACTAATTCCAGCTATAGTTAATCTCTGCTGGCTATTTGGAGCTTTGTGTGTGGAAGGGCTTTCTGAGGCTATGCCTGGTCTCAGCAGGAAAGGGTTTGTTAATTGATTAGTGATGTCTGCTCTGGGCACAGGAGGAGGGCATCATAGCAGAGAACACTGTTACAGCCTGTCCTACCATAAGGAGTGACTGGATGCAATGCTATGT